AGGCAATACATTTTTTTATTCCGATGAGACACAACAGTTTCGTTGGCACTAAAATGACAATTCGGGCGAGGTCGAGATTCAAATACAACTTGGATGAGATCGTCTGACAAAGTTAACCAGCGTCCCAGTGCCCATGGAGATGTAACTCTTGCTATTCCAGTAGTGAGCCAATGTATGTTTATCGAATCTGGGTCACTTTTTGCGCTTTTTGGCTTTGGCGAGAACGCCTAATATCTTGTTTAAGCCGTATGGATTCACCATCGTGTTTTTTTCGATTACCACCACTCAAGAGGGACACTATATTTCATCTCCTTTAATAAAAGGATGCCAGCTTCGTGTCTGACGTCCCAGTTACTGAACTCACTTCATTTATCCACTCCATTAGCTTCTATACTTTTCTCTATTCACCTTCATCTCTACCCAACTTTTTGCCTCCATTGCAATTTTCTTATGAAAGCGGTCACACCGTCACCTGAATGTGCCTTTTTTCCCTCTTTTTCAGCTTATTCACATGCCTATATGTGTATCTTTATTTCTATTCCTTCCTTTTTTCTACCATAAGTTGCCCACATTTAAAGCATCTAACAGTCCCAACGCCTGAGGACCGGATTTACGTTAAGTGGAATTATGAGTTGGCCTGAAATTAAGAGAATTTTATTCTTTATCGCCCTCTGTTGTACATCCCTCAAAGTTTACGCTTTTGGCATAGGCTTATAATGACTCAGCATTTTTGGTTTCTGAATCATCTTGGCTGTCGTTGCTACTGTAAGTTTGGCTTCTATGGCACAGTTCTGTCAATCCATACATAATCCTGTCTATTTTGGGAGAGAGATTGATGCGAAGGCTTGGCGAGCGGCTTGTATTCACCGCCTAGGCAATGGGGCTGTAGTAATGCTTTTGCGAAAATCCCTGTCCTTTTTATTTTCTACCGCCTAGTCTTATCCTGGAGTTGACACTTTCTCGAGTGAACTTTGGCCCTCAATGCATATTACTAGTGGAATGTCAACGTGGAGCCCCAACTGGTATCTCATTTAGCCTATTTGACCTTGGATTCCACAGTAAGGCTCTGGCAGATTAAGTCTCAACTTTTATCAATAAGCATTCATTATTTTGGTCTGCCTTCATGCCATTTTGTCACACCCTCCGTCGTTTTTTGCCGAGCTTATTTTATAACATAATTTTATACTTGGTTTCCTTTGTGTATGTGCGTGTGTATGTGTGCATGGGTTTGTATTAGTATGCGAGTGCATATATGAGCGTGTATGTGGGTGTGTGATCTCTTGCATGTGTGCTTTTATGTATCTTTTCATGTCTATATTATGGAACTAACTGGCAAGTTAACATTCCCATCCACTTATCTCGTTTTCCATAATCAGTGTTGAACTGAGGGGAGCTGCCACCATTCTTGATGTTACCTACACTGCAAAGCCCGTCTCCGGCATTGAGGACACCACCTACAGTCAGGCGATCTCTGACCTCCAACTGGAGCTGCGCCAGTGCCGGAGACAGGCGGAGGGCCTGGTAGGGCGCATCTGCCGGGCAGAGAAGCAACGCGCTGTGCTGGATACCTTTGCAAACAACCTGACTCGGCGTGGACAGACATCGGGCCTCGAGGAGGGACTTAGTGCCTTGCTGGGCTTCGTCGGGGGCCCCAATGCCGCCGGGCCTACCGGCGTTGGCTGTGGCCAGCAGCTAGCCTTGCCGGCCGGCCCGCACGGACAAATGATGATGATGATTCCACCACCGGCGCCCGGAGTCAAGACAGGTTGCCCTGGCCAATCGACAAACACAGTCTCAGAAGCCCGAGTATCCAGCGACGTAATCAAAACAATTT